GTTAAATTCTTAAGAAACAAAAGATCATTTATTTATATGAAACCAGTATATAGAAATAAAAAACACACTAACAGGAAAACAGTAAATGTCTTGCAAGCCAAAAGTTCGTCTTTTCTTTTTGAACAAAGGTCTAGTAACATTGAAATGTACGGAGCAAAAAAAGATATATCTAGGCTCTTCCTTCTTGAGGCATCTACAATAAATAATAATAGTCTGTGTTCTTTCTTTTAGTAGAAGCAGCAGTTTCTGTGATTTTGCCCCAAAGTGAGCAAGTTTTGGGTATAACAAGCAGAAGTTGAGTTTCTGATATCATTAGTGACTATTTTAATTGGATCGTCACATTCTCAAAAGGGTACTATTATCTATTGTGATTAAACCAAGTTCTTTGACATCTGTATATTTGTTACTCCTACTACACATGCCCTGGACTTTTTTAGTTGGTGCTGGTACTGAGTGCTGGGCTTCCAGCTCTCTCTTTGTTTTCTCACTCAAGGCTGTCATTTTACCACTTGAGCCATATCTCCATTTCTGGCTTTTTTGTCTGATTAACTGAAGATAAATTTTTATCTCTCAGATTTGTCTGCCCCTGCTGACTTGGAACAGAGATCCTCAGATTTCAACATCATGAAAGCTCAGCCTTTGATTTCATTTCAATTTGAATGAATTCTAGGGAGAAATTTCAGAACTGTTTAATTGCTCTTTTTTGCTTTCAGTTTAAGTTCAAAATATTAAAATCTAGCAGAAGTCATTCTCCAAGAACATAGAGATGAAGATTAATAAAAATTTGATAAGCCTAAAAAAACTGAGAAATTGTGGATTGACTCAAACCAAAAGTTAATAAGCAATTATCTTCTACTTTATATAAACTCACTCAATCTAAGTAAAGTGCTTACCGTAAGTCAAGGCAAATAATCTTTTGTTGACCCAAAAGCATAGGGGTTAAAGACTATAACTACTAGTAATCCTTCACATTTTAGATTTTGTTGCTATTTGTTCTTAGCACATCTATTATACTTGGGAAATAGGACACAATAGGTTATATATGTTGGGGGAAATTTTTTTTTGGCTTTTCCAGACAGGGTCTCACTATGGCACTGGCTAGCCCCAAACTCCCAACTTGGTCCAAGACCCTGACCTCCATTTTCTCTTGCCCAAGCTTACCAAAGGCTATGACAGTAGGTGTGTTGCACTACACCCAGTGAAATTAAAAGGAACAAAATAAAACCCTTCATTACAAAAAAACATAGAACAGACTTATGAATTGCCCACAGATACACATAACATTTCTCTTGGTCAATTAGAAAATACACAAAATGATTATATAAATTTTCCTACTATCTTGAAATTAATTTGTAACATCTTACAATAAGGATATAGAATGAGCATGTAAATTAAGTAGTTAATCTAATGCCTTTAAGAGCCGACTTTTTGTTTATTGTTTTTATAAGTATTCTATAGCCAGGCTCTGGTAGCTCACATTTATAATCCAAACTATTTAGGAGGCTTGAGATCTGAGAATCACAGTTTAAAATCAGCCCAGGCAGAAAAATCTATGAGACTCATATCTCCAACTGATCACCAAAAAAGCAGAAAAATGGAGCTGTGGCTCATGTGGTAGAGTACTAAGCTTGAATAGAAAAGCTCAAGGATAGCATCCAGCCTTCTGAGTTCAAGCTCCAGGTCTGCACATGTATGCACACACACAGTCACAGACACTCTATATTTTATCTTTATATTACATATACACACTATACATTATATAATACACACATACACACTATACATTATATGTAATATATACACATATACAAACTATCCACTATATAATATATACACATATTTATACTATAAAATGAACCAAATAAGAGATGCCTTTCTTTAAGTTCTCAGACTAACAACTATTTTACCATCCAATCTATAATGACAAATCAGAATTTTTTATACTAATAGCTCAACTTATATGAATTGAACAATAAATTCACACCACTTTAAGTTACATAAGTTTATTTTTAAAAGAAATTTGACAAAATACCTTCAAAGTGCAAAATAAATCTGAAACATTGAGTGGCTATTAATATCCACTGCCCCACTTTATACAATGGTGTTACATTATGTCCCAGAAAATTTACAGGGAACAATCCTAATAAAAGGCATTTTATTAGCAAATGAGATAATTTAAAATGAAACTAGTAAACACTAAAAATTATACTTAGCCTAACTTTAAATCTTAAAGTCAAACTGTAATATGAAACTATGAAATATATAAAGGCAATCTATAATATATAGTATGCCTTAGTTTGGATGCAAAATACATTTTTTCTGTGCCTCAATAATGCAATTATTTTGCTTTATCATGATGTTCATAACATTTTAAAAGGAAAATTGTTTACTTCCTAAAAATGGATATATGGACATTATGATAGCAGTCATACAAAGCATTCTAGTAAAATGATAAAGAACGTATGATTTTTAAGTTTAGATCTGACTAATCATCAACAACATCATCAACATCATCATCATCATCACTACTGCTACTGTGAGTCATAATCCATTCCCTGTAGAACTGAATTTTCTGTAAGCATGGTAAAGGAAAAAAGAAGCATAAAGATTAGTTAAGTATGGAAAACTGCTTGGATAACATGTAAAAGTATGAAATGTTCAAGAAATTATAATAATCTCAAAGCAATTTCTAGCTGTGACTCAGGCTGTAATATGGATATATTTCACGACTTAACAGACTAAGACTAATGTCTATTGGTTTATATATACTCAATATGATAAAATACTTTTATGATCTCAATACAGTGTTTAATGACAATACATTTTTCTCTAGTAAGCCACTTAAATTGATTACTAGAACTACTATTACTATTGTTATAATATGATGACTTCTAGATAAAGTTATACCAGAAAGACTATATTTTACTATTCTTTAGAAAATGAAAAGGGAAACATTGGAAAGCAGTATCTAACTTATTGAACACCTAACATTAGAAAATGAAAAGAAACATTTGTTAAGTACAAGGCCTTTTCTCTAAGACACCATCATTTAAACCTAGATGAAATCATTAATTATTACATGAAACTAAGGTAGATGAGATTTTAAATGAAGGTTACATGTGTGATTATTTTCCATAGTACCAGTATTCATGTATTTTAATGTACTTGTTAATGGAGGTAGAAAAGCAACAATACCACCAAACAACCCAGTTCTCCCACTTGTAGTAATGTTAACTGCAAACATGCTAAGGAATGTGATAAATTCCTACAAGTATTCAAGCTAATCCTGTATCATTTTTAAAAGTAAACAATGGGTAACAAAGATTATGAGGTTTTTAGTCATCGAAATAACTCTTTTTAGCTAAGCCTGGATTACTAAAATAACATTCACCTTTAAATATACACCATCAAAAAGTAATCTCTTTAGATCCCAGAGCATAGAGCTTCAAAGACAATTTATAAAGGTGTCAAAGTAACTATACTTGCCATTGAAATCAAATGATCAATAATAAATTTTGAAAATGTTATAGATGTGTTTTCAAATAAGATAGTATACTTCTAAATTGTTCTCACTTTTTTTCCTTCCGAAGTTCATTAAAAATTGCTCAAAAAGCATTTGGAAATCTTCAACTTTCAGTGTAGTAAAATGTTACTAACATGTTAATTATGCTTTAACAAGGAAAGGCAAGTACTGGATAGAAATGTTGCCGCACCGAGTTTTGCAACTTTTCTGTTTCAAAGAATGGTAAACTACACTGTCATCCTAGAGACTACAGGGCATATCCTTTAGACACAACCTCAACAAACTGCCAGTTCTATCCCAATCTAAAAGCATTTTTGATGTTCTAAAAGCATTTTAAAATCAGTATAAAACCACTTTACTAAACACTGTAAATTATGATTACATTTTAATAAATTAGAAGGCTCAGAGGAAGCTATAAAAGTGTATTTTATGCAATATTATATTCTCTGTATACAATAAATAAGGCATTTAGGCATTTAAGTTTTAAATCTTTACCCTGGTTATTACAAGTAAGAGAAGTTTGATTTACTGACACTTTTTTTCCACTACGAGTATTTCTATATCAGTACAACACAGTGACCCTTGTTTCAAACAAATGGTTTGAGAATTCCACATTTAAACCACAGAAACAACTTTACATTGATATAGGCTAGTACATTATTACTCCATTATCCCATAATGAAGATTTTTAAAAGTCTAATTCATTAAGTGAGAAACTTGTCTGAACAGATAAAATATTCTACTTTCAAACTTCAAACTGCCTATTGTTTCAAAGCCTAATCTTTCTCATTAAAAGATCATGGTTTGTATGTGAAATATGTATTAAATTTCCCAAGATTTTAGGAGGCCAATGCCTTATCCATTAGGCCACTGGGGCTTCACTTTCCCAAGATTTTATACAGACTAATTTGAGCATCTTCAAAGACATAAGTAAGTACTGGCCATGCTCCTGAGTTTTGTTTTCTTTTGATCTTTGTGCCTAATTGTAGATAAAGCTAGTAGTGGTTTGAAGGAAGTATCCAAATAAAATTGTCTAACTAAATATGTACCATCAATTATGAGGATACAAAAGACACATTGGTTTTCAACAAATCTAGCAAATCCAGTGCAGAACCAAGAAAGTTGATAAAAAGATCAGATTAAAATTCCTATTAAAAGGTTATCAATACAAAATCTTTCCTTTATGAATACTGAAATGGCTGTACATGGTTTGTAAAATTTAAAGACTAAAATCTACTGTTGGCTTTTACTTGCAAAGTCATGCATTAACTGTTTTCATATCAAACTTTTTGATGCCTGTAAAAAAGAAAAAAAAAGTCTTATAGTAAATAAATGTACTTTAAAACCTAAGTAAATAAAAAACTTATAAATGGAAATACACAGATATATAAAAGCCTAATCTAATATGTATTTCAAACACTATACAGTTGTAAAGAAACTGAGTTAGCTACAATTTACAGGATCTTTCTTCACGTACCTGTAGCATTTGATTTCCAGTACCATCCCTCAACCTGTAAGGTCTAATAACGCCATCTTCATTAAAGAACCGAGGAGGTCGTAAACTCTCCACTTCAAAAGTTTCTGTAGCTCTAGAGAAGAAAATATAACTTGATTTTTAAGTTATACAAAAGCTTGTTAAAACACTAAAAATGAAGCTACTCAAAAGAACCGTCTGCTAGATAAAATGTGAAAACCACATCATGTATCTATTTTTGTTTTTAGAACATAATGTAAATTCCCTACAAAAATGTAGAAGTATAAAGAAATTTATTAAGAGGCTCTTAGATGTTCTTTGCATAATAGAGCACTAGCAAATAATGATGTTGCCATGTTATTTCTCATTCTAATATTACAATTTCTTTTCTTTTCCTAGTCTATACTTCTTCCAGATATATATAGATGTTCTTTATATATATATATATATGCATATATATAAACGTTTTTCCTGTTCAAGATAAAAAGAAGGAAATGTAGACATTTGCATTTCACTTCTCACTACACAGGGAAAGCTTGAGTTCTCCATGAAGCAAAGATACCAACCAGTAACTCTTTTGATGTTCTAAAAGCATTTTAAAATCACAGTATAAAACCACTTTACTAAACACTGTAAATTATGGGAGCCAGTGTCTGACCCTTGTAGTCCTAGCTACTCAGGAGGCAAAGATCTGAGGATCTAGCTTGGGCAGACAAATCTGAGAGGCTCATCTTTAATTAATTAGCAAAATCAGAAATGAAGGTGTGGCTCAAGTAGCAAAGGACCAGCCTTGTGTGGAAAATGCCAAACATGAACACAAAGCCACAAGTTCAAGCCCCAGTACTAAAATACTAAAAAAAGAAAAAGATATTCTTTATCAAGCCAAGGAAGTTATTTCTACTCTTAGTTTGTTAACAGTTCATTTGTTATTATTGTTTTTGAAAATTTCAGAAGGACAATGAATTTTAAGAAGGATTTCTTTCCTAGCCATTGTTATAGTTATATAGTTTACCCCATGAAATCTATTAATGTTAAGAATCACATGTGATTAAAAATTGGAACAGATTTATTATAGTTGGTTAATTTTATTATTGGATAATAACTTTGTGTTAAAAGTCTACTTCTTCTAATATTAAGTACATATGCTTCACAAATGATATAACATTAGAATCCTTCAAAACTATCATTTCTTTTCCTGCATTTATATTCTTACCTAAATTGGTTCCAGTATTGCTTTCATATAGCTCAATGAGATTATACACTAATTTATATTTCCACTTTTGATGTTTATAGCCCAATTCTTTATTTCAATGTCCTAAATAGCTCTTAGTCTTGATTATACTTTGGAAAAATGTCAAAGTATAAGAAATGTAGCTGGGTACAGACATAAGATTTTAGTTAATTAATTCCAAAAGATATGTGTAGAAATCTCTCTGTATATTTAATGTTTCACAGATGTTTGAGCTTCTCATAACTATGAGCAAACACATCATATTTGTGAAACTAAAGTTATAGATAGAGGAGACATATTCTCTTATCTCAATTCTAAATTATCACAAAAACAAACACAATTGAGAGAGGGAATGAAGATGACCTCTTTTTAAGAAGATAGGATGAAAGATCAGCTGAGTTTGAACCAAGGAATATAAAATGACATTCTTTATTTCTCAAAAGAGGATACAGAATGTCATATTTACTAATTTTATAACTGACAAAGAGTATTGCAGTAATGCATTCCAAATAAAGATTAGTGAAAAGCTTGCTTCACTTGCCAATCAATACCTGGGAACAGCTGCTTGGAATGAATGACAAATAAGGGAGAACTCTATAAAGTTGAAAGGACAGAAGAGCAACAACTTAAAAAGAATTAAAGTGAATGAGGAAATCATGTGCATCACACTCCATATTCCAGTGTTCATACTAAGTGCCTAAAGCCAAACAGCAGACATAGTTCACTGCTCTTGGCATAAACATCCCACATTGCACCTCTGAGAACACACACCTTTTGATTCCCTGAAAGGTACTGCTAGCCATGTCTATGATGCCTCCAGTTGGTCTGGCCACTGCTCCAACTAAACCTTTTCCAACCCCTTTAAAGAAACCAGCTGCTCCTTCTTTCTGAGCTCCTACAAAGAAAAAATATGATAAAATTTCAGATTATTAGGTCAAGAATGAAAACAGAATCCACTTGTATAATATAAATCAAAGGAACTAGTGTAATACTTGCCTTTAATTGGTTTTGTAACAATTCCTGTAATGCCACTTACAAAACCCTGTAGGGAAAGCACAATTGAAAATTATAATACTTTCATAGGAAGCTTAGAAGAACCAAGTTTAGATTAAAAAATGTAGAGATGTTCTGTCCTACATACTATGTATGAAAAACATATGTCCCAAGTAACATTTTTTATGCCACCATCATTGCTCTTACAATATCCAAAGACTAATTTATCTCTTTCCTTATTCATAGAACGTGGGTTTAAAAGCTATCCCCTAAAATGTTCAGTCTTGTACAACTGCTTACAGAAACTAAGCCTTTGCCTCCACGAGTGATGCCTTCTCTAAGACCAGCTGGTTGTTTATTCATGGCTTCTCTTCTCTTCTGCTGATAGTCTTCATCCATTGTCATAGCTGCTACCCCTTTAGCCATAGCACTAGTGATTTTGGAGGCAGCACCAGCTAATCCACCTGGAAAAAATGATACTATCTTTAGTAAAAGCAAATAAAATGTGTCACTCATTTAATTATAATAAAACTTGGCATTCTGCTTCTTACCAACAGCTCCACCAACTAGCGCCTTAAATCCTAGTGCCATTCCCTCCACAAACTCCTCAGGTCCCTGGATGGCCCCCTAAGTCACAAAAAAAAAAGTTCACATTTATCTTTTTTCTTTTTTTCTCATCAGAGGCAGGGCTTGAACTCAGGGCCTAGGCACTGTCCTTGAACTCTTTTGTTCAAAGCTAGTGCTTTACCATTTTGAGCCACAGCTCTTACTGATGTTTATCTTGAAAGGTGGGGTTATTGATATAATAAGAGGGAATAATGAAAAGAATAAAGATCTTCTAGAGGATGTGATGCCAGTTAAAACTCTCACATTAATGGGGAAAAACCAGTTGTTTAAGGATACAGGTGGACCTGTTGCAACAATGAGAAGTACAAGTTGTCATGTCCAAAACGAGCTTTACAACGTCGGTGGGGGGGGGGAGGGGGGGAAGGAGAAGGATTGGGTTGGGGGGGAGGGGGGAGGCTGGGAAGGGATGTGAAGGGTAAACAAAGGAGGAGGCTGCAATGCTTGGTAAGAAATGTACGCATTATCCTGCCCATGTAATTGTAACTCCTCTGTACAGCATGTTCACAAATAAAATTTAAAAAAAAACTCTCACATTAAAAGGAACTCTCAGGGATAATTTCACAATACTCAAAAGTGTCTAAGATAAAATGCTGGGAAGTAGTCCCAAACTTAAAAAAAGATGCTTCTTGTAAATTATATAATGAGAAGAAAATAAGGACATTTTAAGACTTTCTATTATTATTACTACTATTGTTATTATTATTTTAGTAGTTCTCTGGTTTGCTCTAGGCCATGAACATGCTCTACTACTTGAGCCTTGCCTTCAGCTCTTTTTTTTGCTGGTTATTTTGGAGATGCAGTCTTGCAAATCTCTGATAAGGCTGGCTTTCAATCACAATCCTATGGAACTTAGCCTCCAGAGTAATTAGGATTACAGGCATGAGCATCCAGCTCTACTGAATTTATTCTTGATAAGTTAAAAAAATAAAACAGGGCTGGGAAGGTGGCTCAGTGGTAGAGTGCTTGCCTAGCATGCAAAAAGCTCTGGGTTTGATTCCTCAGTACCACATACATAAAAAGCTGGAAGTGGTACTATGGCTCAAGGTAGAGTGCTAGCCTTGAGCAAAAAAGCTCAAGGGCAGTGTCCAGGCCCTAAATTCAAGCCTCACATCTGGCAAGCAAACACAAACACACACACTCCACCGCCCCCCCCCCAGAATTCTGAAGTTTTGATGAAAAGTTTTAAGAGATGTAGAATATCTCTAATTTTCCTATTGGTCATTAAGATCACTTTGCACAATGTGAGCTTGCATGGCTATTTTTAAGTTCCACACTTCTGTGCAAAGTAAAGTACCCATACATAGTGATCTTCCTTTTATTATAGTCTAAAGTGTAATAACACTTATATTCCAAAGGAAAACTTAAATTCCAGAATACCTTAACAAAACCAGACATTTCAATTTAAGGAAAAAAGCAAAAATGTCCTGCCATGCTTACCCTCTTCTTACCATCATTTGCTACAAATTAGTGTATCATTTTGTGTGCCTCTCTCAAAACCTATTTACAGTTCTAGCTCATGTTAACAACAGGAACGACTTCTCAAAAGTATTAGTTTGATATATGATGTAATGCAAGTATTTTACCTGATAAGGTTCATAAAAAAATGCTTCTACACCTTCTGAAAATTCTCTAATTAAGCCAAAGGGATTTCCCAAAACATCAAGTCCAAGAATGAGTACATACATCTGCTTAATGGCCTAAAAATGAAACATGAATAATCCAATTAGATGACTATACTATTATTCACACACACACACACACCTCAAGTTTTCTAAAGTTAACATCCTACTACAAATTTCAACATGTAATCCATATTGTCCATTCATCATCATTCTTACTTTGAAAAAGCAATGGAGTGTTAGAGATATAATACAACATCATGCTATATAAAACCCTACCTTATTCTTTTGTTGTTGTTGGTGGTAGTCGAGGGGCTTGAACTCAGGGCCTAAGTGCTGTCTGTGAGCTCTTTTTGCTCAAGGCTAACACTCTACCACTTTGAGCCACAGCTCCACTTCCAGTTTTCGAGTGGTTAATTGGAGGTAAGAGTTTCATGGGGACTTTTCTGCTCAGGCTGGCTTTGAAACATGATCCTCAGATCTCAGCCTCCTGAGTTAGCTAGGATTACAGATGTGAGCCACTGGCACACAGCCCTAGAATTCTGTTGTTGTTGTTGGTTCTGGGGTTTGAACTCTGGGCCTGGGAGCTGTCCCTTAGCTCTTCAGCTCAAGGCTAGCACTCTACCTCTTGAGCCATGGTGCCACTTTCGGTTTTCTAGTGGCTTATTGGAGATAAGAGAGTCTCATGGACTTTCCTGCCCAGGCTGGCTCTGAACCATGATCCTCAGATCTCAGCCTCCTGAGTAGCTAGGATTACAGGTATGAGCCACCAGTGCCTGGTTTAGAATATTTTAAAGTATTATTACACCATTGTATGTGAGAGCTGTTATTACTACTACCCTTTTATAGATGGAGACAAAGGATGTCTAGGCCAAAGTGGGATTCCCCACCAGAAATCTTGATTCTATCTCAGAAGATACAGGAAACTTTCTAGAAATGAAGTAAGTCATTTAAAATAATATATCTGGATGATTTGATAACTTAATATTAAAAATGTCATATCCATCAGTTACTAATAGTTTTCTTTGAACTTGTGTTTTAAAGTAAGTGGTATGAATTTACTTAGCTAAGATTTTTAAGATTTCTAATCTACATTGACCCAGAAAAAAACAAACCCCCAAACCAACTAAAACACCCCAACCCCAAACTGGACAAATGGCTGAAAAATACAAAGGTAAAAAGCAGAAATGATGGTTGAGCTCAAGTATGTTTCCAAGTCTGAGAGAAAAAAAAGCCATGTAAAAAATTGAAAATAGTTACTTATTTCCTTGATAACTATACATCATATATATACACTGTACATGAAGGTTTCACATATCATTGCCTCTTTGTAAGATAATCGTAGACAAACCTGCTTTGAATAGTGTCTTACTACTTCAGATTGTAGTTCAGATGTTGTATGAAACTGATAGTTGAGTTCAAAAAAGGCGAGCCTGGAAAAAAAAGTTATGTGTGTATTATACATTTATCTTACAAACACACGCATCTATATACAGGTGTATATGAATAAAGGGAAGAATGGAAAGAGGATGATTTTAATATTGAGGGGTTTAATATTGAATGGTTTTATTTTCTTAATTTTTTTCTCTACACCTAAGTACATTTTTCCACATAACTACATACTCTAGTCAATAATGTTCTAAGAATCTAATGAAATCTGTGGAATTTTTCTTCTGAAAAATCACCAATGTTTAGACATACTTAAGGAGATTCAGAGATGCATAGGACCCCAATTACTGACCACTAGAACTATTTCTCCTATCATGGGCCACATAGAAAATGGGTAATACAATGAGGTAAATATAATGAGGTAATGGCTAGGGTTCCATTTCTGCAGGTCCTGTCCAAAGCTAAGGAATTAAAGTCATCTAACTTTGAAATCTTTTCACAGCATACACTTGATGTGCTAACTGGGAAGCCCCATGCTTCTTGTTGCTGATGAAGAGAACAAGATTAGAAATTCCACTCAGCTGGTGTTATCAAATCTTTATTATTATATTTGAATGTTACCTAATCTTATCAAGATTGAGTCATTACTGTTACTAATACTCAGACATGTTAACTAAAGTGACCTTTCCTTATTATTTGTCTGTCTACCCAACTGGCGGGCCTCACAGTTGCTATGTCAGACACTTTACCAATTAGCCATACACCAGCCATTTTTCTCTGGTTATCTTTGATAGAGGCAGGCTCATCGGTTTACCTATCTGCATATTAAACATACTTGAAAACAACATCCTGAACATCTGTAAGGGTGGCACCAATACTCTTCAGCAAAAGATTTAAAGAATGAACTGGAATTAGTCCTCCACGTTGTTCTGAATCTTTAGCTTCGTCTCTACCCGAACTCAGTGAAACGCTTAAATGCAACTAAAGAAAGATAAAATAGTTTAAATTTCTTCATACTGACAATTTCAAGTTAAAAATCAGTTTCATTTTAGGTTCACCACCCCATAAAGGTTTCTAAGTTAACGCAATTATGCCAAAGATCAGTAATCGAAAAGTTAAATTCAAAAATCAATATAGTTCTGTTTAAAATTTAACAACTTATAATAAGTTCAGTCCTTGAAGAGGATGTCACTAAGTATACATCAAATCTGGCTTCAATCTTACTTTGTTGGTAAACTTAGAAAAATATTAATTTTTATGTATTTGCTAGTATAAAATTGAAAACCTACAAGTTAAAGCTATTGAAAATAAGTACATATCTCCAAAAGTATTCTAATCACTTGATGTTGTATGATGAAGCCAGTTAGAAAGCACTTTTGTGTATATTGCACACATATCTTGTATATGTGGTATGTAATAATTTTCTTCAAGCATTCTATAAGTAACTTATAGAAATTGTGGTAAAGTCTTAAATTCCATCCATTAACTCTTAAATCAAGTTCATTTTAGAAATTAATGAAAAGGCGCACATTTCATTGTCTTTTTTTCTTCAAATTGGGAGAAAAGATATTTCTGATGTGCTAAACAAATCTTTGGAGGTAAATTAGCAGCATGACTAACTTAGCCATTGCTGTCAGTCACCTTCAGACATGTTAATAGCTTCATAAATTTTGTGCATTTTATGATTTTTTTTATAGTAGAACAAATTTAATAAAAAAGCCTAATTCTCACTAATGAACTTTCTAGAAAAAAAAAGAAATTAATGAAAAGCTAATCATGTATATAAACACGATACATGAAAAATTGAAAACTGTTATAGCTTTCCAGAAAATTAAGGTAAAATGTTAGGTCAAAACATAAGCATAAACACACATATGGATTATCTTCTCATGAAACTGTAACTTCTTGGTACAGTATCTTTACAATAAAAAATATATTTAAAAAAAAAGGAGGAAAAAAACCCAGGTTTGTAATAACCCAAGGTCTGTAATGGGCCTACCATTTTTGAAGAATAGCAAAAGAACTTCATTCTGCAGTAAGTTAAAGGACAATAAAGATACGAAAAAAAAAAAAAAACATGTATCCACATGGTTCTTCACTGTAATTTCTTTTTTTTTTGGGGGGGGGGGTCCGGTCATGGGGCCTGAACTCTGGGCCTGGGCGCTGTCCCTCAGCTCTTCAGCTCAAGTTAGCGCTCTACCACTTGAGCCACAGCGCCACTTCTGGCTTTTTTCTTTTTGCTTATGTGGTACTGAGGAATTGAACCCAGGGCCTCATGCATGCAAGGCAAGCACTCTATCACTGAGCCACCTTCCCAGCCCCTTCACTGTAATTTCTACATGCTAAAAAATTATTTCAAGCAAAAAATTTAAAGACCATTCCTTTGTTATTTAATATTTGTAATAGTAAAATTATAAATGTTTCTATGCCATTATAAAACATAATTTAAAAGATAAAATCAATTTGTTACTGTAAGAGACAATAAAATATTTTCCCTACCTTTATAGGAGATATATGAAAATATTCATAGAGACTGACTTGTGATTTATCTACCATTGAGACAGTTTCATATTCTTCTTTAAAACCCTCTATATCTTTGTGAAAAAGATCAACCTATGAAAGAAACATAAAATATTGGTACCTGAAAGGATATGTCTGCATGACAGTAGCTCACACACTGCAAAAAAACCTTCCCTGTCATAGCAAGAGTAAATATTGCTCATCATTGAAAGTTACTGCTTCAGAAGAGAAATTAACCATTTTACTATTAAGAACACTTTTCCTGCCATTCACAAACCGATACGTTTCCATTAAATGGCATCAACTTTTTCTTCATGTGACTATAAATCTTACTTCAAAAGGCCCACTAATCTGATCAAATACTTTAAAAAAAACCAGTTAGTATACATAGTAATATAAGAGAGGTTTATTATGATAATTCCATAGATGCTTACAGTGTACTTTAAACAAGTTCCTTTACAATAGTATTTTTTTTGTGTGTTGGTCATGGGCCTTGAACCCAGGTTCTGGATTCTGTGCCTGAGCTTTTTCACTCAAGACTAATGCTCTACCACTTTTAGCCACAGTGCCACTTCTGAGTTTACCCCTCTATGATATTCTTAACCCATGTATGTGCATGCATGCATGTATGTGTGTGAGAAAGAGAAAAAGAGAGAGAGAGAGAGAGAATGTAGCTGAATTGTGTATAATTACTTATAGTATTCTGGTAACTTCCTTAATCCAATCTAGAGAAGACAATAATACAACTATTATAAAAGGTGAAAGAAACTGAAAATAATTTCCCAATAAGTGGCTAGTAGTTGTGATACTCATTAGTACTTCTCTTCCAAAAATTCACAGACCTAAGTTCAATGTTTTAAGAAATGGTCCAAGAACTTGAAGACAAATATATAGAGAACATGCAATCAAAACACAGAGGAAAAAAATGAACACTGAATCACAGAGAAATGTGGGAGTACACTAAATATATTGGGTTTAGATAATATTTAAATTACTACAAGAGGAAAAAAATACTTAATTTTCTAAGTTTCTTGAAAAGCAGTAACATATCCACAAAGTTCAATAAACTAACTTCCAAGGGCTTTAACAGGAAATTCAACATCTTATTAAAAATACTGAAAGTTATATAGATATAAGGAGAAAAATATTAAAAGCAGAAAGAAAAATGACTTATTAAATACAAGTGCAATAGAATAAGGCTGACTTTTTGGGAGAAATAAAAGGGAAAGAAAGAGGGTCACTGTGCTAAATAAAAAAATTATCAACCAAGAATCCTATACCACATCATAACTACTTCTCAAAATGAAGGTGACAATACATTCTCAAACACAATCTGGTAACTTCTTACTAGCATACATATACTATTACAAAACATCAATGTAAGTTTCTCAGGTTGCAAGCAAGTGAGAAAGGTTCTTCTTATAACTAATTTAAAACCAAATAGACATAACAGATATCTAACCTAACAACAGCAGAATTATATGTTTCTGAAGAGCACATGGAATTTTCTACAAGATAGACTGTTACACAAACATAAAACATACAATTCATTGTATTTGCTAGTAACACTTCCTCCATCCCACCCCACAAAAAAACCCATGTGAAGAGCAGAGCTATGTTAGAAGTAGGGCTGATAAAATAATGTAATGTTGGGTTGCAAGAATACTAAAAAAATGCAATAGAAAATTAAGTGTATCTTGGTTTTCCTTATTTGCAATAACTAGTACATTTCTAGAACAAGCAGAAAAGTTAAAAAATTATGTAGATATGACCATATAAGATGATGTTAAGCAAAATGAACCTCAAGACAGGGACACAAGTGGTTTTCTCTTTCTTGCTATTGTTTTTAATGTGATTCTTTATATGAGATTCTTTTTTTTTTCTTTTTGGTTGGTCGTGGGGCTTGAACTCTGGGCCTGGGTGCTGTCCCTCAGCTCTTCAGCTCAGGGCGAGCGCTCTACCACTTGAGTCACAGTGCCACTTCTGGTTTTCTAGTGGTTTATTGGAGGTAAGAGTCTCACGGACTTTCCTGCTGGGGCTGGCTTTGAACCACAATCCTCAGATCTCAGCCTCCTGAGTAGCTAGGATTACAGGCATGAGCCACCAGTGCCCAGCAGGAGGGGCATTTAATAGTAATAAAAAGCTTAATTCATCTGGAAGATCAAACAACTCTGAACCTGTATGTCCCTAAAACCACAGTAATAAAGTGTAAGGCAGGGCTAGAAATGTGGATTAGTGGTAGAGTGCTTGCCCAGCATGCATGAAGCTCTGGATTCGATTCCTCAGTACCACATAAACAGAAAAAGCTGGAAGTGGTGCTGTGGCTCAAGTGGTAGAGTGCTAGCAAAAGAGACTTAAGAGACAATGCCCAGACCCTGAGAAATCGGGACTGGCAAAACAAAACAAAAACAAAACATGTACATGGCAAACACTGACGCAAATGAAAGAATACATGAAAACCTTAAAGAATATTTAAGTCAACATTGAGAACTAGTAAATGAACTTAGTAAAATTGTAGATTACATGACCAACATAGAAAAACCAACTGTATTTTTAGATATCCTAGCAACAAACAATAATAATACTGTGAAAATAATAAAATACTTGAAAATAAATTTAACAAAAGAAGTGTAAAACCTATACCCTGAAAACTATAATACTATTAAAAGAAATTAAAGATCTACATTAGGGTAAAAATGTCATGCTCAAGATTTGGAAGAATACTGTTAATAATGTACAGGTCTAAAGATTCAATGCTATTCCTGATCAGAAACCCACCTGAATTCTTTAAAAAATTTGACAAGCTGATTTTAAAATTCACATGTAAGTGTAAGGACTCAGTATAGCCAAAACAATCTTGAAAAAGAGAAAGGAGGAAGATTTATTCTCCCAGATTACAAAATTTACTACAGAGCAATGATTATTAAGAAATACAGTTCTAGCACAAGGTAGACAGATCACTGGGAAAAATATGTCTGTCTAGTCAACCAATCTGCCACAGAAGTGCTAAAAGTATTCACTAGAAGAGCAGTAACTTTTGTAAAAACTGGTCCCAGAACAAGTGGAAATTCACTTGCAGAAGAGTATTGGGACCCATATACCACACCATATGAAAAAACAAACTAGGATACAATCAGGATCAAAGACCTGATTGTAAGAGCTAAAACTTCAGGGCTTAGATCCAAAGACTGGATATTCATGACTTTGGATTTAGAAAAGGATTCTTAGAAATCACAACAAAAGCTTAAGCAACAACAACAACAAAATAGGCAAGTGCCAGTGGCTCATGCCCATATTCCTTTCTACTTGGAAGGCTGAAGCTGGTGCAATTGGGTTTAAGGTCAGCTTCAGCAGAAAAGCTCATGAGACCAACTCCTGATCAAAGAGCGGAACAAAAGTGGCATACACCTGTTATGATGGAGGCACTCACCAAGACAAGAAGCAAGAAGCAAGACCCTATCTCAAATACAGCCAGCAAAAATCAGGGCTAGAGACCTGACTTTATGGTAGCGCCTCTGCCTAGGTTCAAACTCTAGTATCATAAAAAAAAAATTTTTTTTTAAGAACAGAATGACATTGAAAACATTTGTGCTTCAAAAGACTACATAAAGAAAGTGAAAAGATGACAAATAAGATAGGAAAAAAACTGAAGATCATATATCTGATAAGAGACTTGTATAAAAAATACAAAAAGCTTTATAATTCCATAAGACCTATGAACAGGCATGGATCCGAATGGACATGCAAGGTATATAAATGGCAAACTGGCCATGCGCCAGTGGCTCACGCCTGTAATCCTAGCTACTGAGGACGCTGAGAGCTGAGGACCACGGTTCAAAGCCAGCCCAGGCAGGAAAATCTGTGAAATTCTTATCTCCAATAAACCACTAGAAAACCGGAAGTGGCGCTGTGGCTCAAGCAGTAGAGTGCTCTCCTTGAACTGAAGAGCTGAGGGACAGCGCCCAAGCCCAGAGTTCAGGCCCCACGACCAAAAAAATAAAATAAAATAAATAAATGGCAAACTAACACATCAAATAATGCTTAGGACCATTAGTCTTCAAACCAAATAAGAAACCATTCCATGTATACTAGAACAGAAATCTACACAGGGAGAGAGTGTATTAGTGGCTATACAGATTTAAGGTACTTGTTTCAGGGATGAGGAAAACACTCTAATTACATGGTAGTGATAGTTGCACAACTTTTGAATATATCAAAAACTACTACATTTTAAATGAGGGAAATACAGGATTTTAGAATTATATTTCAATGAATTTTGAGAAAGCAAAAAATACTTGCCTGTCTTTTTTTAAAGTTTTATTTATTTGAACATGACAGAAAAAAGAATTTCCTAAAGAGAAATACCCTAAGTAAAAAATAAACCTCAGTATTTTGAGGACAAATTATCATACCACAACTAATGAACTACCAACTTGAGGTCTTTTTATTTTCCATATAAATAATCTAGAACCCATACAGTCAGTAAAGTAAGCATCAAACAGTTGGACATGGAAAATTTAAACAATTTGTTGGCCCTGACTTTATCCATAAAGTTTGATAAGACTTTTGTAGTGTTTCTTAGTTTTCCCATCAAATGCTACTACTATAAATCTTACCTCTGTTATCTCTGTTTCTTCAGCTTCTGTCATAAGGTCTGCTAAAGCATAGACAAAGCCAAGATCTAACCTGAGATCCATTTCTTGAATCAATACTTTGAAGTACCTATATTACAAAGTAGAAAACTACTTAAAAATCACTAACTGCGTAAAAGGAAATTAGAAGTATTAGCTAAATATCAGAAACTTGAATTACATGATTAACCTTGCTTATCATACCAACAAACTAAAAATATGAAAATGGTTAGAGAGAAAAATGATGAAGTGGTATATTATAACATATTATATATTTGAGTAAATCATAGAAACACAACAAAACTACTGTAGTAAAAATTTCAGACAAGTAAATTCTAAGAGTTTGTGTACAGTTTGAAACAATTTTTACAAAATTAGAAAAATTAAAACTAAAAAGCTTAATGCTAACCAACAAAATTGGAGGGAGGATTTGAGTTGGGAGCAATGGGGGAGAATGATGCACTGTACTTATAATTTGTTGAATAACCCCTTTCTACTACTAGTTAAAGGTACTAAAATGTAATTATAAAATGTTAATGGTTACATATACACATACAATAACACTGTATTAGAAAAAGCAAGGGAGAAGAGTTTATTGATCACAGTGATGAGGACAGGAATGAGACAGGAGCATTACACAGATGGATGCTGATGTAACACTTAGAGTAATATGCAATAAAACTTTTTTTTGGTTTCTAAAACAACATATTACAATTAACTCAAAAAAAGAAAAAATATATATAATAAGAAATATAAAGGTATATTTATTCCATAGCCTTCTAAGTTCTAAGAATATAAATTAACAGATTTTATTTTTATGATCTAATAATTCATACTTAAATCTTCAACTTAATATAAGATTTATTTTAAGGAGAGCAAATAATTCATATAAACAACAATTTTAAATGAGCAGAGGAGAAATATCTGAAGACACTTACTTAATGCGTGATATCTGGGAATGTCCTGCCGATCTCATGACAATGCTGACGTCTGTAAAGGGCTTTGGTGCTATAATAGGTTGTAAATATGATTACTTTCAGGAAGCTTTAACCCAATTTAATATAGAGTATCAACTAAAATAACATTTGCAAAGTCCATAACAATCTTTACTTCTGACTCCAGGGCTGTCTTTTCAATAATGTACTACCACTCTAATAATTATTTCTAAAACTAAATGATTTTAAATTAAGTATTCATTAGAAACATCCATGAAACTGAAAATGCATTCTGAAGATAGGTACAGCAGATTTCTAGGTAAAGGACCTGCAGCATGTGGTTAAAAAGCTTCTAAGCAAATAATGAAAAGAATCCTCTAGTGTAGAGCCCACAGTATGGGTTCTTGGATGAAAAACAGAGGCAAAGGAAATGAAGTTGAGTGGCAGAGAGGGCCAAAAGAAAACTGAGGGAAGAGGGATAGACGAGAGAGGACAATAGAAAAATGAAGAAGAAAATGGTATAGAACATAGAATCTATTTTCTTATAGGAATTCTGAATTTGAAGTTCATTTTTTATTCCAAGGTCATAATAGTTTCAAGTTAGAGGTTTGCATATACTATGGTTTTAAAACTAGTACTTCTAAAATGTTATATATTTCCAATTAATTTTTTCTTTAGTATTTACATGAAGTTTTGTTGAACTTAATTGAGTACTTCCTGACCCCTTTGCAAAAAGTAGTTTAATATTCAAATGATCCTACAGAAATGGAATCTGAAGATGTTTTAGCTAATTTTTTTTGTTAAAAAAAAAAGCTAAAAGAACTGTTTTGGTAGTAGTCTAATCTAAAAATAAAAACAAACCTGAATCCATGGTGACAGACTTTGGAGGTTTAATAGGATAAAACACAAATGGAAAAATAGCACCATGAATCTGATTTTGGATCTAAAAAGAAATAAAAACAAAACAAAAAAAAACAGGTCAGTTACAGTGTATCAATCATATAGCCTAACTAGAAAACAGGATTTAATAAGTAGAGGGAATCAAAATGTCTAGTCTAACAATGAAATACAAAGTAAACAGTATTTACTTAAAAGTCCTTCTCCAACTTTTCACTGTATTTTACACATAATTGACTTCTATCTTGCTTTTTTCTTTGGACTCTACTATACTACGTCAGACATGAGACTACCTCTGCTTTCTTATATTTGCCTGTATTTTCCAAAAGACTCACCTGTATTCTATAAATCTGAATTCTAAATGATGACTGATGTGCAGATGTACAATACTCCACTTTTAATGCTGGAAGATAATTCCTTCGTAGAGCTATCAAATGTGGGTTCAGAATTTTCATGTTATTACCATTAGGTGTTAAACGAACCTGCAAAATATGTACCCCCACAAAAAATTAACATGGAATGTAATTCCTCCATAAATGTTGGAAACTTAAACCAAAAATCTTTCAAGAAAATACTAATTTAAACAGTAGGTTAAGTCGGGTGCTGGTGGCTCATGCCTATAAATCCTAGCTACTCAGGAGTCTGAGATCTGAGGATGGCGGTTCAAAGCCAGCCTAGGCAGGAAAGACTGTGAGACTCCAATCTCCAATAAACCACTAGAAAACCGGAAGTGGTGCTGTAGCTCAAGTGGTAGAGCACTAGCCTTGAGCTGAAGAGCTGAGGGACAGCACCCAAGCCCAGAGTTCAAGCCCCACACTGACCAAAAAAACAAAAACAAAAAAAACCCCAGTAGGTTAATACCTTATATGGTTTATTTTTAGGTCTTATAACCTCATAGCTATAAAGTTTATGGCTATTTATATAATCTTCATAGTTTGGCTGTATCCTTTTTATGCAAATTTAAATTTTTGCTAAAAATAAAAATAAAGCAATAAAAGTTTTAAATAAAATAAACAGTCCGCTGGGAAGTTGGCTCAGTGGTAGAGTGCTTGCCTCACATGTATGAGGCCCTGGGTTCGATTCCTCAGCACCACATAGGCAGAAAAAAGCTGGAAGTGGTGCTGTGGCTCAAGTGGTAGGGCGCTAGCCTTGAGCTGAAGAGCTGGGGGACAGCACCCAGGACCAGAGTTCAGGCCCCACAAAAGACAACACAACAACAACAACAAAACAGCCTCTGGGTTCCTATTAAATGAGTAATTAACAACTAGTTATCATATCAGAAAATTTAGTTTAATACATAGTACCACCAGTTTTAAAAATTTTACATGAAGTATATGCGTTAACTATGTTAAAATTGTTTCATTAAAAGCTAGATTTTCTTTAAAAACTCACTAGTGATTCCAATTCTAAGATAAAAATGAAAAATCCATGTATTAGTACTAAAAAATTTACCGAAACATGTGGTTCCAACTCAATAATCTTATCTTCTGAAGGTGAGGTTTCAGAATATTCCTTAAATTCTTTCTCCAATTTCTCATTGTGTTTTATACTCATTGGTTTCCACCTTGATTTTTTTTTGGGTTTTGTCTCCCAAACCACATCAGAACTTATAGAGAAAAACAAAAACCACAGTACTAATTTATAATAATATTCAGTTTGCTTTTCTAATGCATACATTTTAAAACTCTCAGTTTGCAATAAGCGCAGTTATAAGCAAGCATGTTACAAATTTAAAAAACATAAATCCATTCAACTAACACTTATTTAGTTCTTAATCAGGTAGTATTGTAGGTGTTAGAGAAACAGTAAACATCTCTGCAGGTCTTCATTTTAGCTAGGGAATGACAAACAATAATAGCAATCATGAGTCATTTAATTGTAATATTCAAGAGGTGATTGGTGCCTTTGGAAGAAGGAAGTTTAGGTAAGAAAACAGGGATCTGAAATCTTGAGATGTGTGAAGAAGAGCTGCAGTATGGTCAATGGTCAAAGGGGCCTCATGGAGAAGATAGCATGTGAGCAACACTGACAGTTACCCAGAAGACAAGGGAGAAGGAACATTTCAGCGAATTATCCACCTTCAGCAAAGACCCCATAGCAATAGCACATCTGTAATGTGTGAAGATCAAGGTCAGCATGGTAGTTGCATTAAGATATTAAATAATGTAAAGCCTTGTAGGACATTTTAAGTCTCTGAGTATCATTCTGAGGTAAGGAACAACTGAAACGCTGTAAGGTTTGAAACATGATATGATTTCTATTCTGTTAAGAATGTATGATGACTAGCTACTTGGGAGGCTGAGATCTGAGGATTGTGGTTCAAAGCTAGCCTGGGCAGGAAAGTCCATGAGACTTATCTCCAACAAACCACTAGACAAGTCGAAGTGGCACTGTGGCTCAAGTTGTACAGCGCTCACCTTGAGCTGAAGAGCTCACGGATAGTGCCCAGACCTAGAGTTCAAGCCCTATGGCCGGAAAAAAAAAATGTATTATAAGCAGGGCACTGGTGGCTTATTCTTACAATCCTAGCAACTCAGAAGGCTAAGATGTAAGAATCACAATTTGAAACCAAACTGGGCAAAAAAATCCAAATAACCAACAAAAATCTGGAAGTGGAAATGTGGCTCAAGTAGTAGAACGTTAGCTTTGAGTAAAAAAGCTACAGGCAGCTATGCACTGGTGGCTCACGTCTGTGAAGTTCAAAGCCAGCCCAGGCAGGAAAGTCCCTGAGACTCTTATCTCCAATAAACCACTCAGAAAACCAAAAGTGGCACTGTGGCTCAAGTGGTAGAGCACTAGCCTTGAGTTGAAGAGTTGAGGGACAGCACCCAGGCCCACAATTCAAGCCCCACGACTGACCGAAAAAAAAAAAAAAAGAAGAAGAGTCTATAAATGGAAAATATGCAATGCTAACAGATTTCACTACAGAATGTCATCTTCTAAAATTAGCTCATTATTTACAAGTTTAATCACCCAATTTATCTACTCTTAATAAATGTTAAATAAAAATCTGTGATGGTACCAGGACTTGAAATCATAGCCTTATACTCTCATTTGGTTTTCTTAGTCCTGGCTAGTGCTTGAACTGTGTTTTCAGTATGACATGTTGCTGATTCTTTTGAAATTCTTTGGCCCAGAGTTAGCTTTGAACTTGGATCTTCTAGGTCTCAGACTTCAAAGCAGCAAGGATTATAGGAGTGGGCCAATGGTGCCTGGTTTGTTCTTAATAAATTAATATTCGCCTAATGTAGAGGGAGAGAACTGGGGGCACAGCTCAAGTGGCAGAGCACCTGGCCTAGCAGGCAGAAAGGGCTAATTCAAACACAACTGCCTAGCCACTCCCACTGGAAAAGCAAGGCAGAGGCCATGCATGACTCATTTTGCATTTACAGCATTTAGTATAGAAAATATCAGACAATAGTTTTAGGAGCCTTAAAATCCACACAGTACTAGAGAATTAATCTAGGGCCTCAAGAATGCCAGACAACTACTCTATCTCTTGAGCTATGCCTCAAGCTCTTGTTTTTAAATTTATTTGCTTATTTTTGATATGGTCTTTCTACCTTTGCCCAGCTGACCTCAAACTCTGAACCTCCTGCTTTGACCTCCAGAGGATCTGAGCTTTACAGTGTGTGCCACTGTCATCCAGGAGACCCATTAACTAAAATAATAACTTAAATTTGGGGGTTACAATAAATACTTTCTTATTTTGTTTTTTTGGGGGTCCAGTCGTGGGGCCTGAACTCTGGGCCTGAGTGCTGTCCCTCAGCTCTTCAGCTCAAGGCTAGCACTACTTGAGCCACAGAGCCACTTCCGGCTTTTTTTTTTTCTGCTTATGTGGTACTGAGGAATCAAACCTTGGGCCTTATGCATGGAAGGCATGCGCTCTACCACTGAGCCACCTTCCCAGCCCACAATAAATACTTTCTCATAAAAGTTTTAACATTTCTTTTGAAATGGCATTTATGCCCCTCAATAAGAGGTTAGCAACATTTAATTTACATAGAAATTTAATTTATATACCTTTCATATGCATTTATGAGTTTCAGTAAATGGTTAAAACTATATTATTCTAACTATATGCATATTAGAAGAAATGCCCTCCACATTAGGCCAAACACATACCATCTCTCCATATTTATAATATATAGTAGATATAGAAATTTTAAGTATTTATGAATAGGAAAAATAAGGGCATAATGGAGAGATAAAGAGCTTTACTGATGATATCTCACAAGGTGGAACAATCTAATTACATTAGATGTCTCCTATGGCTAACAATCTAACCACATTAGATCTTAAGATGCTAAGGTAAAATTATACAGTGACTGTCTTTAATCTGCCAACAACTACTTAAGTAACATCTACATTCTACCTGCACCATAATGGTAAAAGATAAATATATTTTATGAAATGTTCAATATTTCTTCTGAGTTAAATAGATATAACTTTTGGAGCACAAGATTAAAAGCACCAAGGATCTATAAATCTGGTTATTTTGTACAGTTTTAGGGAAAAGGAAAAAACTCAACTGAACTTGTATTGATGAGCAGTCAACAAACAAGCCTAAAATCATTTTACATTTGTAACAATCATCATTTGATTAAGAACTGATTAAATTATGTCTAACCTTGTAATGCCTATATAGGCGACTTCTTGCTTTGTGTAATTGTTGACGAGAGATACCCCAACATCTTGCAATGCCAACACAATCTCTTGTTCTGCTAACTCAGCTTTCTCACTTTCATAGGTTGCTTTAAACACCTTTGGATCTTCAGTGAATAAAATAATGCGTTGCAAGCCTTCGAAGAAGGAAACTAAATAAATAGTTTTTTCTCCCAGATTTATAGGTGTCATCATGTCCTAAAAGAAAAGAACCCCCCAAAATTAAGAGTTTGGTTTCAACCAACACAGGTCTAGATTCTAAAATAAGAATATTTATAGGATCTACTTCATAGGCCTGGGTTGGCCAAGTAAATGAATTAATATTCAGATAATAATAGGAGACTTAAAAGTAATCATTGTTAGTTGCTTGATAGGATTAATGACAACCAATTGAGTTAATACTGCACAATATATGAAATTTTTCATTATTGAAATCACATGCTGTCAGCTACTGCTACTATTATTCTGAAGTTATCCATCAGTAAGATGGGTCGATTGTTTGCTCTTCTTTAGCATCTTAATGAAATCTAATTAATTTTCTTTTGTAGGATGATTAAAAAGTACTTCCTTTATTTCACTCTAGGTTTGCAGACATGTGCTAAGTATTAAAAGTTGTTTCATATTCTCTTTGATATAAATATCTCCTTTGACAGATGAATCAGAAGGATAGAAACATCTTACATCTGTGTTTCAGGCTTCATAAAGTACTGATGTTCTTATCACAGGGTTAATTATGTAGGGAGCTCTATATAAACATATGGCTAAGTTCAGTAACAATTATAGCACATTCTAGTAATTAATAGACAAGAATTCCTAGTGAATAAAGAAAACTTTACAATAAAATCAGAATATAACCCACAGAAATTAAACACTGAAGTTTCCATAAATTTATTATCTAGGAACCATAGCATTACTTATAAAACATACAACTGTATAACTACATATAGTCTAGTATCTCATAACAAATTTTAGAATCATCTTTATAAACTCCAAACTGTCACCCTTATCTAAATAAGAAAAGTACTAATCAACAGATCAAATAAATAACAATATATTTTCTAGTTAAATCAACAATTTATAAAGCTCAGTCTGGCCAATTATAGGTTTCTTAAATACAACTAAAAAAAGCACCTATACAAGATTCCTTAACAATATTGGAAAACAATGGAAAAACATGCGCAATCAATATTCTAAAGAAACTAACTCCAAACTCCTAATTCTTTACCTGGAAAGAAAGATGTTTTTACACAAAACTCCTAAAGTTTACAACATCAAGAGACTGGCAATGAATTCTACACAAGAAATTAAGCAGTGATTAAAAACTAAGTGATCTGGGCTGGGAAGGTGGCTCAGTGGTAGAGCGCTTGCCTTGCATGCATGAGGCCCTGGGTTCAATTCCTCAGCACCACATAAGCAAAAAGAAAAAAGCCAGAAATGGCTCTGTGGCTCAAGTGGTAGAGCACTAGCCTTGAGCTGAAGAGCTGAGGGACAGCACCCAGGCCCAGAGTTCAGGCCCCATGACCGGACCCCAAAAAAAAAACAAAACAAAAAAACTAAGTGATCTAAGAGAGGTAAAAAAAAATAGGAATTCTATATAAATAAAACAGTACCTATGTAGGAAAAATAATTTATAAAATAATTTATTTAGCTATGATAAAACTTTAGGTGAAAGCCAGGTGCCAGTGGCTCACACTTGCAATTCTAGCTACTCAGGTGGCTGAGATCTGAAAATTGTGGTCAAATCCAGTTTAGGCAGGAAAGTCCATGAGGCTCTTTTATCTCCAATTAACCACCAGAAAACTGGAAAACTAGTGCTGTGGCTCAAAGTGGTACAGCAATAACCAGCCTTGAGCAAAAAGAGCTCAAGGACAGAGCCCAGGCTATGAGTTCAAGTCCCATGACCAATTAAAAAAAAGAAAAAAACCTTAGATGAAGTTCTTTGACTATTCAGGAAATCCTTTCCTGCAACAGAAGTTTAGTAAACACCATACAGTAAAATATTGAAAGTATTTTTAAGTTCAGAAATAGGGAAAAAATGACAATTACAGAAATATAACAATATAAAGATTCTATTGGGTAAAATAAGAAATGAAAATAAAAATATTAGAAGGAAATTATTAGAAGGGAAATATTAGAAGGGAATATTAGAAGGGAAAAACTCTCATTGAACTTGCATTATTTATTGTACTTTTTATCCTTCAATGAAGGATAAAAAAATGAACATTTTTAAAATGTGAGTGAAATGAAAAGAGGGTAAGATCTAGGAGAGAAGGTATTTTAATAAGCTTTGTATTTGGAGCAGTTTTTTCTAAAAATCAACTGCCAATTCTAAAAGCAGAAGCAGACTACAAGATTAGGACTGTTGGCTAAATAAATGGTAGTCTCCTGGGAATGTAAGAACCCAAAATGGAATTTAGGAAATGCCACAAACAAGTGAGCAACCTTTCAGATTTTTAGTTGAATATCCCAAGGACTACCTTTTAGGTACTCGGGTGAATTAGATTCAGTTTCACAAAGTCCAAGGAACAGATTCAAGTCATCTATATCCCCTTGCGAGTTTAGGTAATCTGCCTTTATACTAATTGTCTGCAAAAGGTAAAAACTACTTTCTGAAAAGGGAGCCTCAAACTATTATAGTTTTATATTAATATTACATATATTTTGCCATGGCACCCTGAACAATATAAATGCAGCACCTTGCAAACTTACAAAAAAAAAAGATCAAGTTAAAGCCAAAGAAAGATTAAATTAAAAAATAGAATACTAAACTATTTAGAAATTGGTAAAACTGAAACATATGAATAAAAGATATTAAAAGATTAAAAGTGTTTCCTGGGGGGGAAAATAACTTGTAAAATTGATAAATTTTTAGCAAAAGCCATTAATAAAAAGGAAAGAAAGCACAAATAAATAATACCAGGAAGGAAAAAAGGCATCACTGTAAATACTAAAAAGATAAAGAAGCTGGTTACAAAACTATCAATTACGGACATGTGAGAGTTTGACTTAATAATTCATCCTCAAAACAAAGTTCAAAAATCATTTAATAACTTTCAATAAAATAAAATGCAAAAAATTCAACAGTGATCCATTTACACAGAGAAAAATATTTTATCAAACAAGGTAGTCTGCCTTAATTTGACATAAATTTCTTTTACAAAAGAAAAGAAATACCTAGAGCAAAGATATACTTAATGATAAGTTTCAGTCTTCAAATTAAAAAGGGAACGAGTGGAGGCTACAATGCTTGATAAGAAATGTACTCATTATCTTGCCCATGTAATTGTAACCCCTCTGTATTTTCACAATGAAAAAAAAATTAATAAAAAAGGGAATGAGTGCATCATCAGCCTACTAGAAAGCACAATGAAGTAATAGCCAAAACTTATTTTGCACAATGACAAGGAAACATTACTATATAGTTTTTATGTTTCCTTTAAATATAGAAAAGCTTTGTTTATGGGTTGTATACAATAAATCAGAATGGCTCTATTCCTGTGGAATAATAATCAGTGCTCCCAACTTTCTAGTTGGATTTAACTTCTGGCTGGAATTTGAAAAAATGAAAAACAAAATAAAGGAAAGTTCAAAAAAGAAGCTCAAATAATGCTTTTTAAGTCTCTGGTAGTTTTCTTACAAGTGTAGGTGTAATACTGTTCTTAAAATCAGCAATGGTGAAAAAGCATGCCTTTGTTAAGAACAGAGGCTGCTGGAGACATTGGAGCAACCATTCTAATAAATACTCACATCCTTTTGTGTTACTTCTCCATGGCTCTTCCCACAGCTCCATTTCAGCTTTCTAGAGCCCACTGGGTCAGTCCAGGTATAGAACACTGCTTTTTCAGGAGGAAGGACATCTTCTATTTCACTGATAGAACTGATAAAAAGAACAAAGTATGCAATGAGTTAAATACTACCACCTAAAGAGTATATATAAGTAGAACAAAATCATATTTTATTAATTCACAGCCTATTGAGATGCAGTTCTAATTAAGATGAAATGAAAAATTCAATATCTAGTTTCTCTTCAGACTGTATAAACCTTATGCCTTTTACCAAAAAAAACCACATTTTCTTAGAAAATAAGCACATTTCAAAAGCTGGGTGCCAGTGACTTCTGCCTAGGCTACTCAGAAGGTAGAGATCTGAGGATCATGGTCCAAAAGCCACCCTGGGCAGAAAAATTCCTGTAAGACTCTTAACTCCAATTAATCACTCAAAACCAGAAGTGGAGCTGTGGCTCAAAGGAATAGAGTGTTAGCCTTGCACTTAAGAGCTCAGAGACAGCACCCAGAGTTTAAGCTCCACAACAGAAAACAAAAGAGAGGAGGGAGGGGGAGGGGAGGAGAGGAGGGGAAGGAGAGGGAGGGGGAGGGAGAAGGGGAGAGGGAGGGGAAAAACAGTATTTCAAGGGAAACAGCTGACTCACACAGGAAATAAACTTTGTTTTGTTTTAATTTAAATCATGGAAAAATATTCAAGTTATGTTCTCTATCTACCTAACTAGCAATCCTTTACCAAGTATCAGTCTTGCTGTAGAAAAACAACCAAAAATGTAAGTCAATTTTTACCTTACCCCAGATAGAATGACCATCATCATGAATAAATAACAGATTTGGCATGGATGTGGGTGAAGGGGAACCCTAATACACTGTTGAGGTATTAGGAATATTGGTGTACTTGGAATGCAAACCTGTTCAACCACTCTGAAAAGCAGTATGGAGGTCCCTCAAAAAATTAAACATACAAATACCCCATGATGCAGCAACTCTACTTTGGGCATTTATCCAAAAGATTACAAAGCAACACACAGAAAACCACCAGCACAATTCTGTTCATTGAAGCACTATTCACCATAGCCTAGGTATGGAATCAGCCCAGATTCCCCTCAACAAATGAACATACCAAAAAAAATGTACACAATGGAATTTATTCATCCATTAGAAAGAGTAATACTGCATCATTTGCAAAGAAATGGAAGGAGTTGGAAAAAAATTCTTAAGGGAAGCCCTGAGAGACAAAAGTTACATGTGGAAGCCAGAATTGGTTTATATATATTTAAGTACTACTTTGGGTGGTAGGCAAGTGTACACAAATGTATTAACTGAAATATAGTGGATTCAGGGGAGAGCTTGAACAGTGCAATTCCTTAGAAAGAAAAAAAGCATAGTTCAGCAAAATAAATACCAGGAAACAGGTACTTGAAAGGTGTGGGGTGGGATCAAGGTAATAACAGTAGATGAAGGAAGAAGGGAGAATATAACTAACTCAATGTATATCCTATGAAATTAAGAAAAGTGAGGAACAAGGGTGAGTTTGTAGAGATGATTGAGAAGTTGAAAGAGCAGACACTTATCAAGATAAATTGTATTCATATACCACTTGCTGAATGGTAACTCTTTTGGACAACTACTTAAATAAAAATATTTTTAAACCTGTAGATATGATATATAAAAATTCAATGACAAAAATATTTCCATAAAGAAAAAAATTATGGAAGTTATTAACCTAAGAAGTAATAAAATATAAGATTTTCTAAGCCAAAAAAAGCATACCTTAAAGACTAAAAATATTTCATTGGGTATCAGACAATATTAGTGAAAACAAGACACTATCGGGTATATGTGTATGTGTTGTGTGTATATATAACTTCACAAAATGTTTGAATTTTGAGAAAATGAGGGTAAGAGGAGTGATGTCTTTAAATATAATGGAAGTGGTAGAGCGCTTGCCTTGCACGCATGAAGCCCTGGGTTCGATTCCTCAGCACCACATAAGCAGAAAAAGCCAGAAGTGGCGCTGTGGCTCAAGTGGTAGAGTGCTAGCCTTGAGCTGAAGAGCTGAGGGACAGCGCCCAGGCCCAGAGCGCAGGCCCCTGTATATATATATATATATATATATATATATATATATATATATATATATATATATGAAAACCATAGCTAACTATAAGGAATAAAAATAAGCTTGCTTTATTTTCTAAAATTCTCTACATAAATGAGAGACCCTCAAATGCACAGAAACCTAGGCTACAGGTATGTGTGTGGGAGATGTAGGTCAAATGATACAAACAAAATGTTAGAGCAGAGATATGAAAAATGATTGAAAAATATTCCTTGTGTACAATTTTACTAGCTATATCTCTGAAAAGCAATGGGAAGTCAAGGAAAAGGAAAACCACAGTCGGGAAAGTTAAACTATCTACAACTCCATAAGGAAGTAACAATACAATGTAACAAATGCTCTAGGCTGTATATTCAAAAGAGCTATCAAACACTGGATAAATAGTTAAGGTCTGAGGAAAGGAACCACATAGAAGTGGAAGTTTTTCAGCAGGGAGATGCATCTACATAGATAAAAATGCAGAGTAGGACCCACAAAATTCAGGGAACAATGAATTTCAGTTCATCTTAAGCATAAGGTTAGAGCTAAACAACAGAAAGAAAAATGTTTAGCAAGGGATTTAAAAAATATGCTTCATTTTTATGGTTTTACACTCCTAGGGATTGAATTCAGGGCCTTACTTGCTAGGCAGATGTTAACAGAAACGACCTATGCCTCAGCACTTTTTTGATTTATTTTTTTGGTAAGAATATCTTATAGAGGAGTTATAATTCTATGGGCAAGATAACGAGTACATTTCTTATCAAGCATTGCTGCCTCTCTTGGTTTCCCCTTCCCATCCTCCCCCTACCCCCTCTCACCCAATCCCCCCTCCCCACCAAAGTTGTAAAGTTCCTTTTTCAACATAATGACTTGTACATCTCATTGTTGCAATGGGTCCACCTGTATCCCTAGTTAAACGATTTCTTTTTGTCCTTCCCCTCTACAAATTATACCAACATCAAATACAGTGAAAGCATGGGTTATACAGTGTGGGAGGGACATACAAAGCAACATAGAAATCATCTTATAAATATGTTAGAAACAATTGCATGAAAGAAAAAAAAATTGAATACTTATGTTGGGATTCATTCCCCTAACATCAACTTATCTGACCTCTTCTGCTTGACTCATATATTTTTTTGAGACAGGACTGCAATCCAACCTATGCCTACATGCAGCTGGGATTACAGATGTGCCCCACCATACCCGGATTATTTGGGACTCAAATCAAGATCCTTCCAATCTCTGCCTCCCAAATAGCTTTTGTCACAGGAATGTATCATCTCACTTGACTCCTAAATACAGCTGAAAAGAAATGGGAAATAACTAAAAGACTCTAAATCGGGAAGAGATATGGCTGGACTTAGTATTTTTATAAAGTAACATATGCTGGAGAATGTCTAGTCTTATCTCTGGTAAACCCTCCAAAGTGTAGACAGACGTATCCAGTTTATGTAAATAGGTAAGAATGCTGGGTTCCTAAACTAGGATAACATTAAACAAAAGACTTTAAAAATGGTTCAACTAAGTGATGGTGTACCATTAAGAAGGCTGAAAATCTAGAGGATCATAGTTTGAAGACATCCTAAGCTGAAGAGTCCATGAGAGCAAAAAGCAGGGCTGGAGGTTCAGTGCCAGCAAGGAATCAAATTATGTCTTATGCAGGAAAATGGAAGCAAAGATAATCAGGTTGAATGAAATAAGCCAAGCTCCAAAAGCCAAATATCCCCAAATTTTTGCTCATATTTGGAATCTAGACCTAAAATGAGAATACTCTTAATAATGGACATGAACATAAAAGAAAACTGATGGGATTAATGGAACAAAGAGGAAAAAGAAAGAATATCTGAAGTCAAGAAGATCAAAGCTAGGGGCTGGGAAGGTGGCTCAGTGGTAGAGCGCTTGCCTTGCATGCCTGAGGCCCTGGGTTCGATTCCCAGCACCACATAAGCAAAAAGAAAAAA